CACCCAGGCGCCCGGTTAATAATTTTTTAAAAGCAGGTGTATTAATACGATGCTCACTCTAGAAGGAACCTGGGTAAGTGCTCTAAAGGAAACGTGTCCTCCGTTCTCATGGCATCTAACACAACCAGGGAGGGCCGACTCTCCGTTCGAGACTTGGGTTCATGTTGTCATTTGGGTTTTTTGTTTGTTGGTATATGTTTATTATAACAATGTTATACAATTTAAAACAATTAAACTTTTTTTTTTTTTACCACTAATAAACAAGGATTTTTTTGGAAATTTCCAAACCTGCCAGAAGTGGCACTTGCCAAGCCCTGGGGTCCACCCTCCTACCAAGCTCCAAAGGGCAAAAATGGCCCTCCCCACCTCCCCCCTCACGCGCTCCTGCCCTCCACCAAGCACACACACACATACCTCAGGCCCTGCCAGAGAATCGGAGTCCCCTCCGAGGAGGTTCTACCCACCTGGGCTCAAGAGGCAGCCCCCTGGCGTCCGAGGGGATGATGGAGGCCAGAGCCACTTTGCATAGATTGAGGAAAGAAAATACAGAAGGATGCACCAAACAGGGCTCCCTGAAAACCCCAACTTATACCTGTACCAAAAAAGTGGTTCCCCCCTAGAAAAACCTGCTTCCCACATAGTGAAAATACCCAAAGGAAAGGAAAACCCAGCAGCAAGGCTGGGCTGGTGGGTGTGGCAAGAACTTTGGTTTAGGAAGGCTAGGAAGAACGTGAGCTGTGTCCTCTTCCTCACCCAGCGCCCCAGACCCAGCTCGGACACTGGCCCCAAGGGGTCGGTAAACAAAAATGCTGGCAGGCCTGGTTCTGAAATGTCTGTGACAATGTCGAAGTACAGCCTCCCATGGACCCACTTGGGCCTGCCTCTGCCCGCAGGGGAGCTGGGGAGCGTCTCTGGCGAACCCATTTAAAGCCAAAGTATAACATAGGTATAAGGCTTTGGGGACCAAGCAACAAGGAATCCTAGCACTACATTTATGAAACTATAGCTGGGGAGCAGAGGGTGACAGAGACACCCCTCACCCCATCCTTAGCCTAGGTGTCTGTGGCCCCACATTCCACTGTGGACAGCAGCCAGCAAATTTGTACACACCTCTGATTAGTTTCAATTCCACTCTGTCTTGCTCACTCTAGCCTTTTTTTTTTTTTTTAACTTTATTTATTTGAGAGAGAGAGCAGGAATGGTGAGGAGAGGGAAAAGCAGACTCCCTGCTGAGCAGGGAGCCCGATGTGGGGCTCGACCCCAGGACCCTGGGATCATGACCTGAGCCAAAGGCAGACGCTTAACCAACTGAGCCACCCAGGCGCCCCTCACTGCAGCTTTATAGGAAGTCTGAAGTTGGGTAGCATCGGTCCTCTGACTCTGCTCTTCTCCTTCAATATTGTGTTGACTATTCTGGGTCTTTTGCCCCTCCGTATAAACTTTAGAATCAGTTTGTCCATATCCATAACATAACTTGCTGGGATTTTTGATTGGTATTGCATTGGATCTACAGATCAAGTTGGGAATAACTGCGACATCTTATCAGTTCCATTAATTAAACATCCAAAATTGGACTGTTCTCTCAAAAGGTAAATACAACATATACAAACATTAAAAAATACATGCAAATACATCAAATATATATTCAAAATATACATACATTAAAAATATAATTACATGTATTGTTTCCATGAAGGTAGTGTATACTCATGACAAATGTATACAACACAGAAATGTTCCAAGTGAACATCCCATGTGTCTAGGCTCCATTCCACTTCCCCAGAGGGAGTCAGTGTTGGGTATCTTGACCTTCACACTCTTTTCTCTGTGGATCTGGGGCAGGGGAGGTCTGCATATGTGACAGGAGTCTATGGCCAATGTTACTAATTAATCCAGATGCTCCTGCCTCTGAGACTGGACAGAAAATCACAACCCCTCTTAACAAGGGCTCTGGACAGACAGTTGGAGCTGGAATAGCAAATCACATAGATTAGCCATTCCTGTAAGTTTGTCCTTCCATTATTCTACATATATTCGGTAAGTGATGAGTAAGTAGGTAATATGCAGCCAAGTCCCAGAAAGTCTAAAAAAGATCTTTCTCCTTGATCTTCCATCTCTATCTTGACACACAAATGATTCATATATAAAAAACTTAGCTCAGTATTATATTTGTGTTAAAATATCTTCCCTCAAAGTCTATAGATGCTTCTTCAGTTTTCTCAGAGCATTTAGAGTTGGGAAAACCTCTGATGTCAATCCTTTTATCAGTACTCTGCTTTTCTGTTTGGCTGTTTGCCATGCAGCTGTTTTGGGATGTTCCTGGCTGAGCCTCCAGAGGCTATTACAGAAGGCACGTCAGAGTAGGGGCCCTTGAGATCGTCTCGGGGACCCTCCTATTCTCTTTCTGCTTTTGTCATTGTTATTAGTGCCATGACGTTTTCATGATTGGTCTACTCAAAACCCTTCTCCAGTTTTATTTCTTTAGTTACTCTCATTTCCATTCCTGCTCCCTTTTTCCTCTTCCCCCCAAGATAACTATCCTAATGTGTGTAATGTGTATCTTTTAAAAAAATGTGTTTTTGTAAAATATGTATTATTTTGTGTGCATATTTTGAATTTTCATAAATGGTATGGCATACCCCCTTATGATCCTTGGGCATAATTTCTTTGGGATACACACACACACACACACACACACACTCGGAGCGTGTTGCTGTGTTGTGGGTTGTGTATACTTACTTTGGGTGATCTGCGCTCGAGATGGCTGCCTGTCTACACTCCCTCTGTTAGCACCTAAGGCTATAGCCCCAGAGCCTCACCAACACACAGCATTATCTACCTTCCAAACCAAGTTCATCTAATAGATGCCAAGTACTATTTCATTTTTCTTTTAATTTTCATTCTTTTTTTTTTTTTTTTGTTTTCAGTCTTCTGATTACCAGAGAGATTGATCATTTCTTCATATGCTCACTGGCCTTTTGGGTTTCCTAGTTTGTGAATTGCCTGTTTACATCCTTTATCTTTTATTAGGGTTCCTGTCTTTTTCTTGTTAATTTGCAAGAATTCTTTGTATACTCTAGATATCAGTCTTTTCTTGATTTTGAGTATCGTTAAGTATCTTATCCCAACTGGAAATGTGTTTGTTACTTTATTGATGGTATTCTTCATTGAACAGATAATCTTATTTTCCCTATTATTTCCTTTTCTGTTCTTCAGAGGACCCAGTGATATGCTTAGACAAATTAACCAGAGGCAGAGCCAGATGAGGGGCCAGCTCCTTGGCTCTCAGCCCAAGGCTCACTCCCCATGGCTTGCTGTCCTCAAGCTGGGAGCCCAGAGCAGCCGGGAGAATCAGCTGCCACAGCCTGGCCCTGGCCTGGGCACAGACCTGGGCTGTATCATACACTAGCCTCATGAGCCTACTGAGCACTTGAAATGTGACTAGTCAGAACTGAGATATGCAATACGTGTAAAATCTACACCCAATTTCAGAGACTTGGTATGAAAAATGTAAAATATCTCAACCATTTTTATATTGATTACATTGAAATGAGAATATTTGGGTTATGTTGGATTAAAGGAAATATATTGCCAAAGTTAATTGCACCTATTTCTTTTCATTTGAATGTGGATAGTGGGATGTTTTAGGTTAAGTAAAAATAGTACAGGCAGTACAAGAATATGTCAAGATTTGTGGCTGTTTGGGGACGGACTGAGGTCTGGTAAACACCGCTGAACCTGCTTTGTTTTATAGGAATGGGAACAGGCTCAAATTAAGGAAGGGATTTATCCAGGGAGCATGAGTTCAGGCTCTTGTGTGGCGCCCGGATCTCTGGCAGGTGCTAGCAGGTACCTCTCTCTGGCATTTTCCTATTCTCAGCTCTGGGTCACAGGTATGCCCATGTCCAGCAGAGAGACTGACAGGTCTGGCCCTGGTGGGGACACAGGGGCCTGTGAGATTGGCTGCCACAGGAAAATCAATGGCAAGAGGTGGGACAACTCGCTAAGAAACCAGAGTGACGGAGGGCACTGGGCTGCAGAAGCTAGTTGGGGATGCTGGGCAGGCAAAAAACGGACAATGTTCCCCGCAAGGGTCCCATAGCCCATCAGTGACTCAGTCCTCCTCACTCCCAGGTCAACGCTCTTCTCCACATGTAATGAATCTTACTAAAGACTTGAGTGACTCCTACTTCGATGGTTTCTGCCTCTCCAGACTCCACCTGCCTTGAGTCCCAGTCGTCTTGGTCCAGTAACTGTGTGCCAGAGGAGAGCTGGGTTTGGGCAGTAAGGGAGGTCAATCTGGGACAGGATATCCGGTCACGCTCTCTGCTTTGTTTCAGGGGTCTTCAGGGCTTTGCCCAGAGGCCGGAACCTAGGAAGCCAGGAGGGCACCTGGGGAGCCAAGAGACCTAAGGATTTCGTTGGCAGAAACGTATCCCAACCAGGAGCAGGGGGCATGGACCACAGTGAGGGGGTCATCCAAGCCCCAGCCGATACCACGGTGCCTCAGGAACTGCTGGAAGAAATGCTTTGGTTTTTTCGCGTGGAAGATGGTAAGTGGGGGGCGGATCAGGGAGGGGGCATATGGGCCTCAGCACAAGGAGTGGAATCTGGCTGAAATCCCCCAACACAGTTGCCTCCTCCAGTACCAGCTGCACATTTCCCCCCAAGGTGGGGACTGAGGCTGAGGGGGGTCTTAATTCCCAGAGGGGTCTGGCCTCACCGCACCCTCTTCTCAGGGCTTGGTCATTCATTTTCTTCATTTATCGGATCAGTCACAAATATTCATTAAGTTCCTTCTGCGCACTGGGCACAGTTCTCAGCAGTGGGCTTACAGTCGTGAATGAAGCACAAAAGTCTCTGCCCTCCGTGCAGCACATATTCTAATGAGAGAGAAAATCAACAAGACAAACGACTAAACTGCAGAGCATGTGGGTGATGAGCAATACGGAGAAAAATTAAGCACAGAAAGGGAAGAGAAGGGTAGGTACCACGGTCAAGGAAGGCCTCACCAAGAAGCTGACATTTGAATAAGGGCTTGCAGGAGATGAAATGATGAGCCCCGCAGATTATGTGGGGGAAGAGCATTCCTCGTAAGGGGAACAGCAAACGCAATGGCTCCAGGGCTGGATCCTGCCTCATTTTGGTACGGTGTGGACACATCTCATTATCCAAAGTCAGATTGGCCACTTTATGTATTCTCTGTTGGCAGTTGTTGGACACAGTTTCACTGCCACCCCTTCCCCCCCCACACTTAGATTAGGGCTTCTGCAGAGCAGAAATTGTCCCTCCCTCTCCCCCTCCCCCACACTGGAGGTTCCGCAGGGCAGGGGCTCATCTTCGTCAGTCTCTACAACACCTGGCTCACAGCAGGGGATGACTGATGCCATGAGCTGAGTCTGAACCCAAGCCCCAACTGCTAGTGGGCCTGAGGGGCACCCAGCCTCTCCTCAAGGCTCTGTTCCGTGTGTCCTTCCCCAGCATCTCCTTGGAATTATTCCATCTTTGCCCTGGTGGGTGTGGTGGGCGTGATAAGCTTCGTCCTCCTGGGAAGGAGCATCCAGGCAAACAGGTGAGGAGCTGGTCTGGGGGTGGTCTCTGGGGGGTGGGGGACCTGCCCTCCCAAGGGAAATCTACGGAGCGGGCATCTAGAGGTCTTGGCTAGCCACCCTTTGGGACAGCAAAATGCAGCCTTGTAGAATTTACACTTTGGTGGGGAGCCAAGTGTAGTTTAGAGTGACAGATGCTCAGTGTGGGAGATACAGAGTATGTGGGAGCTCAGTGGTGGGATCTGGGGCCTTCTGGACAAAGAGAGAAAGGGAGAGTGGGCTGAGGAAGCCTTCTAGACTGAGGGACAATAGGCACCAAGCTTGAGGTGCTGGAGGAGGAGGCCTGGCCCATATGGCTGTGCAATGTGACATGGCATGGGGATGGAGGGAGGACAAGAGGAGGGAAGGACCCAGAATGTATGGGTCCCAAGGAATTCAGGTTCTAGCTCATGGGCACTGGGGAGCCAGAGAATAGCTTTGCACAGGGACATGAAAGGTCTGTTTTAGCAAGATTAGTCTGGATGTAGGATATAAAAGGAACCAAAGGGGTGTAGCTCCTAAAAATGTGACCTTGCCTTTCTTACCCTGTCAGGAAGCATCGCCCTCAGCAAGGTCAACTCAGGGACAAAGTGGCTGTCCATGGGAAGAGCAGACACTGAGCTGCTCCCCCTGTGGCCCGAGCAGATTCTCTGGGCAGTCAGCCATTACCACAGCTGGGTTCCTCCACAATGGCCAGGAAACCTAGGGGTACCTTGAGTAAGACTGCCTTCGGAGGGAGGACACTTGGGGGAGTTACTGGAAGAAAGGCTAGGTCTTGAACATCAGCTTAAGGACATGGGCAGTGGGGAGCCACTAAAGGTGCTTGAGCTGAGGAGTGATGTGTGCACACTGGGGTTTTAGAAACATGACTGCTGTGTGTGGGCTGGTTTGGAAAAGCAAGCACCTAGAAGCAGGAAGATTAGTTAAGAACTTCCTGAAATAGTTTGGGGATGAGGTGGATGAGGGTGGGAATGGGATAACTTAAATGCATGTCCAAGGTATGTGCATCTTTGACATTTTTGAACCCCATTTCACCTGTAAGGGGAGCAAGGGGTGAGAATAGTTGAGCTCATGGTGGCAATGAGGATTTGCTGAGATGATACACGGACGAGAATAAGCCATTTCTCTGCCAAAAGAACACCAAACTATCTGGGCTTTCTCCCCTAACAGTTCCCAGGACTGCCTACTGGATTTTCCCCTCCAACCCGCTAATCTACTTGGGAGACCCAGTCTTGCCCCCAGTCACTCAGTACCCCAGCTCAGGGAACCCAGATTCAACAGTGTTTTCTCTCCTCCCAGAAATAAAAAACTCCTGGGGAAAAACAAACCAGAACTCCAAGACTTGGCTGAGGCTGAAACCAGAGATGACAATAACCTGAACATCCTAAGAGAGACTTTGCTCTCAGAAAAGCACAATTTAGCCCAGGTGGCAATTGAGTTAAAAGAGGCAGATGCGCCACTGGCTCTCCTTCCAGACCCACAAGAATCGGAGACCTAGTAAGAGTTCAGAGCCCTGCCCCATGTTGCCAGCAGATAAGATGAACGAACTGCAATCAAACTAATATTCTGTTATGGGGGGAAAAAACACTTTTTATTAAAAGGTTTCTGGAAGTGGGCATTTAGAATTGCATAGTTTGTTCAAACGGCCGTGTTCCAACACAAGCGGCTTGGAGCAGGAGCGAGAAATCCATAGTCGGCCTGTGGGTCAGGAAGCCTGGCTAGGACTCCTCGTGTGCTCTTGAGGAGTTCACAGCCTCCCTCTGACCTCAGCTTCTCCATCCACAGAATGGGGCTGAAGGCCGGGTTAGAACTGTTGTTCTTAATCCAAGGTCCTGGAATTGCCAAGAGCAGGATTCCGGGCTCAGAATCCCCTTCACATCCCTTTCCTCCTAGCAGAGCCCTCTCCTTTACCTGCTTATCTGCTGAGGGCCCACGAGAGACTTCCTTTGGGCCAGGGGCCCCAAGGTAAAGAGAGTTAGAAAACTGTGGAACTCCCTGTGCTGACAATGGGATCCCAAGAGAGTGTCCTGATCCTGTGTCTGAGCCACAGTGTCGTATCAGCTGCGGTGGTGACCCCAAATAATTTATGCAAAAAATTGCTTTCTGAACCCCAAATGCCTTAGCTTCTATCTTTCAAAAGTGGACTTAGAACACTCAGACCCACTGTCGAAGGTACTGGGTCCTGCTAGACTAGACTACAGTTGGCCTACTGTGTTTCTACCTACGAGCCTCAGGCCGGCTAACAGTGCCCACTGGGTGAGTGATACCCCCAGTTGTAGGCTCCCGGGAGTCCTGGGGGCTGGTCACTAGAGAGAATGACTTTGTTCTGCAGCTCTGATCATTAAACTTCAGGAGGCTGGTCCTGAGGGTCTGTGGAGAGAGTCCTGAATTTAAGATGGGAAAATAAGGGGGCACTGTCTCCTGGGGGAAAAAACATTGGAGGCTCCTTATCCCAGATGATCCAGAGCCCCCAGTCCTCACCGAAAGGTAAAGTACTGGAAATAGCCCTTCCTGGGAATTTTGCTTCTCACAGCCTGACCCGTAGGATTATTTAAACTGTGGGGTTTGTTGCCTGGGGCTTCTGTGAAGTCAGAGGACAACAGGAGGGCCAGGCTCAAGGCGCCTCCCCGCCAACTTGTAGCCACTCTGTCCTTCCTGTCCACCAGATGGTGCTAGGACCTCAGGGTTGCTCCTCCTGCAGCATGTTCTCGGGCCTACACTTAGGGACCATCCAGAGCTGTCCCCTGGGGGCCACATCTGGCCTGGCTGCAGCTGGAGCAGGAAGGAGTCATGGCACCACGATGGACACTGCAATTTCCTTCCACTTGAGGCTGACCCCAGGTCTCTGGGTTGTCTCAGTGGCTATTTCCCTTCAGGGTCAGGGAATGCAGTGGCTACCATGGAAACCAAGGCCTGGAGCAAGGAAGAGCAGTGTTCCTGCCTGTCCCTCCAGCTCATACAGTGAACTGGGTGTCCGGGACATTACTTGGTGCTGGAAGAGGGGTCAACTGTCCGCCAGAGGGCCAGGGCTATTGCCCCGTCAGAGGGAAAGCCCCGCCCAGCTGCTGAGTCCGGGATCCGGGGTGGGGGTTGCCCTCAGAAGATCTTGAAGCCCTTCAAAAGGGTCAGGGCGGGCGCCTTGCGCTTGCTCTGGGCCCGGGATGACTTCACAGTGACCAGCTTGGCCTGGGCCACGGCAGGCATCTCCTTCAGGCTGACGGTGGAAAGTGTGTTGAAGGTACAGCTGGCCAGCCCATGCCGGGCGGTGAGCGGAGCCTGGTGGGGCAGGGCCCTCTCCTCCGAGATGAAGAGGGGCCGGGGCAGGGAATGCTTCTCCAGCTCCCGCCGTGCCTCCCGCACGGCCTCGTGGAAGACATGCTGCACGTGCTCAAAGTCCAGGCAGGCCGAGACCTCGAAAAACAGGCACCCGAACTTGCCCGCCAAGGCGGCGCCCTCTGCCTTGGTGACCTGCCTGGTGGGGAAGCAGGGCGAGGCAGGGTCAGGAGCGAGCGTCCGAGTCGGGGAGGCCCGCGCCTACCCTCGTTTCCCCACTCACGGGCTTGGTGACCTGCAGTCATCTCGTGAGTACAATGGGATAATGACATCTGCCCCGCAGGGTTGTTAAAAGAATTAAGAAAGACCATTTGTATCGTGTGCCTGGTGTATTACCTGGCACAGAGTCTGTGCTCAATAAATGGTGGCTGATGTCTCCAAAGCAGAATCTAGGAACAAAGCGTGGGCAAGGGAGCAGCTTACTGGCTAGACCCTGCTTGTGGCTGGAAGAAGATGGTCATTCCCAGCCCTGCCTTCCTCTAGCCCAGCATGGGTCCTTGGTCAGGAAATGAGCCACCCTCAGCCCCAGCCTGTGGGATCAGCTCCAGAGAAAGGCAGTGTGGTCTGGACGGAAACGTGTGAGACCACAGAGGAGGGGAGGGTGAGGCACCTCGGGATGCCTGTGGTTGGCAGAGTTCTGGGGCTCATGCGGAGAGTTGCCTGCTCGTCCAAGGGAGGGGCAGGGGAGAGCAAGGGTGACATTTCATGGGAAGGAGGAAGAGAAGGGGGGAGAGAACAACGCCTATTGTCAGCTTCGTCCTATACCCTCTTTCCTGACGGGATCGACTATTTAACTGGGGAGGTCCTTGAAGCTTCTGGCCTGAAAGCCATGGGAATCAAGGTGAGAGGAAAAAGACCAGCTCTTGGGTCGGTCAGATGTCCAGAAGAAGAAAGGGGTGGGGGTACCTGAGGTTTTGAGGCCAAGGTTCCATTGGCTGAATCTTGGCGACCACCTTGCGCTGCCATTCCTGGGGACAGTGGCACAGCCCATGAGACCAGTGGGTAGTGATGCAAAGAGGTTTCTGAGCCAAGGTTAATTTGGCAAGAGCAGGGGGGCTGGCAGTGGGCTAGCTGCCCCGGGGGGAGTATCAGACAGAGAGTGACTGGGACAAAAAGGGCCAGGGGCAGAGCATCTAGACTCCCCACCGAGGGCTGGTGTCCTGTCTGTAAGCTGTTTCCTGAGGAACCGTTCTGAAGGAACACTTGATATTATTTGCTTTTATGACAAGCTTGAGTCTAAAAATTTCTCATTGTGCGGGCTTGAATTCATGAATTTTCAGAAACTAGCACCCCATGCATGCATACATGTGTGTGAACGGGGGACACAGGCATGTCACATGATCCTCTCTTGTTCGGCTGCAGCCTGGTGACAATTTTATCAGCAATTTGGGAACCACTCTCACCAATTTACCATGCTCTAACACACAATTTACCATGTAGCGGCAAGACAGTCCTGGGAGATACACCAATGCTCAGCTACAAGACTGACTGTGCATCAAATCCTGATCCACTACCAGACTGGATCAAAGAAGGAAATGAGGGTAAACGGCCACAACTTTCCTTAGGGAATTGAAGCTGCTCTGGTTGAGCCCCATAATCTTTGTTATTTGCTCCCCAACCATTTTTAGACAATCCCTGTGGCAAAGACTGGGATCAAAACAGTGGTCTAGTTTTTCCCCTCATACTGAAGATAGATTTACCACAATTCAGTCTTCTGACCCCTCTTCCAGGCATCGTGGGCTCTATGATTCCTCAAAAACCACCTTTCGGTTTTAAGATCACACAACTTCCTTCATTCCCTGGGATGGAATTTGTCTTTGTCTAAGGGCTTGATGGCCTTTGAAGGCTCCTACAGTGGCCCCTCTTCATGAGACTGCACCTCTCTTTCCCACTGCCCTTCTGATTTGTTCTGCACCAAAGGTCCCTTCCTGGCTTATCCCAGCCAATGGGCCTTTGGGGTCTGGGGAAGCAGGAGTGACTGGCCATGAACAGGGAGGGACAGATGGAAGATGGGTGGAAGGCACCAGACGTTGAAGGTGGACAGGCCACATAGGACAAATGTCAGTGTTGGGACAAGGGCAGTGGGATTACTCAAGTGGGAGTGCCATGCTTTCAGGGGCCAGGCAAGCAACTCGAATGTATGGAGAGAGTGGAGGAAAGCCATGGGGAGTGGTAAGGCCTGAGTCAGCTGGAGAGGGCATACCCCTCCTCAAAGCATTCCAATTACAGGTCTTTTAAAATACTGTGCTCGCCAAGCAAAATGCTTCAGTATTTGCTGGTAATCTGCCCCCTGGCCCAGTCTGTGACCTCTAATTCAAGTCCAGCCCCTTCTAAAAGAAGCTGCCCTCAGCACCGCAGTGCTTGGGTGAGATGAGAGCTGGTTGGACCAGACCAGACACTTGACTCAAGGAGCCAATCACAGCCTTTCTTCTCAGAACTGGAATTGGGCACTGAATAATAACCAGCCAGCTATGGGGAGTGAGGATGGAACGTCATATAGACAGGCAAGAGAGGGTACCACTGAGAGAGACCACAAAGCCCCATGAGGATGGAAGCAGTGGCTTTTCTGACTTTTAGGGTCCAACCCCCGTGTGGGCCAGAAGCTCTTCCCTTCCTGCCCTGGCCTGTCTGGAAGGCCACGCACACTGTACCCTTTAACCCAAGTTCGCAGGGATTACTTTCCTTAGCAGCCCAATAATCCCCGATGATGACACACAGCCTTTCCAAATGAGGCCAGTGGGCTCCAGCGAGGAGGACACACCGCCCGCGCTCACCTGTACTGGGCCATGTCCAGCTTGTTGCCTAGCAGCAGGGCAGGGGAGCTGCGTTGGGTCTCCTTGGCGTGCAAAGCGAGCAGCTCCAGGTAGCTGCTGCTGTCCTTGAAACTCTGGCGGCTGTCCATGCTGTACACCACCAGGAACGCATGGGCCCAGTTCAGGTAGCGCTCACAGTTCCTGGGGGTGTCCTAGGCGAAGGAGGGAAGCCTCGCTGGGGGTAAAGGCCTTCACCTGAGCTGCTTCATCCTACCTCCCCACTCCCTGGGTCTTTGTATATTGTTCCCCAGCAGGGCCCTTTTCAAAGGGGCACTTGAGTGTGGATTTGGCTTGGTGTGAAAGGAGGCATTGTCTTGGGAGCCTCACTCCCACCACCCAGCCAGAGGCTTGGAGATCTTGGCCTCTGGGGCACAGAGCCAAGACTCTGGCATGGCTGCTAAGAGACCTGGCTTTCCCTGGGCACTGCTGGTTTGGGGTCAGGTTGATGGTGCCCCTGGGCTTCTG